TAAATTTCTGACTTCACCACCAAATGCCCTAAACTTCATATCGATGTTCTTCCATTGTGGAGAGTCAGCAGGATGCTTCAACAAACCATTTTTCTTTCTTCCCTCAGCAAGCCATCTCAGGTTCTTGGCGTATTTTGGTATTTAAAATAGACGCTTTAACCTTGGAATAATAGGAAGATACCACAACACCTTGGCAGGAGGTCCTTTAATACCAGCATTGCAGCTTGCTCGCTTGTAACGCAACTTACCGCAACGTGGACACTCCTCCAACTCTTCATATTCATTTCGATACAGGACACAATCATGCGGACATGCATGTATCTTCTTATACTCCAAACCAAATGGACACATTAGTTTCTTTGCATAATAATAGGAATTAGGAAGTTCATTCCCATCTGGCAACATATCACATAACACAGTCAACAAAGAAGTGAAACTAGTGTCACTCCAGTTATGCTTAGACTTAATGTTAAATAGTGCAAGCACGGCTGAGAGTTTTGTGTATTTTTTGGACCCGGGATACAAAGGCTTTTTGGCAGCCTCTGATAATGACTTAAATACATCAGGTCGGTCACCAAATTCACCTTAAAAATCACGCATCATCTCATCCAAGTGATCATCACCACCACCATCCTCAGTGTCATCCCCTTCACCACCATCATCACTCCCATTTTCTTCTTCAACATGAATCTCGACACTTTCAACATGTGTCTCATTGCCAACAACATTCTCCCTACACGATCCCTTCTCACCATGACAAACCCAAACATGATATTGAGGCCTAAACCCATGACATTGTACATGAGCCATGATGGTATCAACACTATTGACCCTAGTGACATTATTACAATTGACACAAGGACAATAAAGGTAATTGACACCCGTTCTAAGATGATATTGTGAAGCACTCTTGCAAAACTCTTTAACCCCATTAAAAAATTCCAATGTATCACGTCTACCATACATCCAACCGCGATCCATTAACGCTTTAAATTGCCTTTAAACATACCAACACATTTCAAACAATGATAAATGTAACATATATTATGTCAATCAAAGTACATAGCATATATATCATCCATATATCGTAAAAATGAATGCTCCCAAAAGGTCCTTATCACTCCAACCTAACCCATCCTTGAACGTCTAATCTCACTAGTGAATGTATGTCAACTTTTCAATTTTAAGGAAAATCCGGCAGCATTTCCCCCCAGTTCTCCAAGTACACGATGTAGGTAATAACTTACCCACATATGTACCAAGAGAACATGGTGAGAAAATGAGAAGCCCGGATATTCCTTAAAATCGAAAAAGAGACATACATTCACTACCTAAGTGAGATTAAACGTCCAAAAACAGTCCCAACTGGGGACTATTCAAGACTTTCTCCTATTGAGAAAGACTCGAACGAGTATCTAGGCAAATGATGATGCAAGCATTCAATTATTTGCATTTATTTGACATTCAACAATAAACAAGTTCATTCATTTAAATAGTGCTAATAATTAAATTAACGTACATACAATCAATATAGCAATTCATTATATTCATACATTGCAATTTACTAACCACATTTAATTTAACAAACTAAAATGTTAACTAATATATATTCTATTAAAAAATTTCACTTTAAAACTACTCAAATTCAAACAATATATATATATATATATATATATATATATATATATATATATAACATTTAAACAATTAAAGTAACAACAAACATTATCTAATATACAAAAAAATGATAAAACAATTAAAATAAAATTGAGTTAACTACTTGAAACCCTAACTTGAAATTTTGGAATAAACAAACAATTAATACAATTTAATACATATGAAACTTAAACTTAGCAAAACTTACCCTAATTTGAGAGTGAGAAAGAGAAAGATTGAGGGATGAGGAAGAGTAGTCGTGTGTATTGGGCTCGGTTCACCACCACCCACGAAGACCACCACCCAATGCAACCAATCCAAGAACACCACCAGCAACTAGGAGCAACAACCACCACATGCAACTAACCCATCCAAGAGCAGCCTTGAGCAACACCCACAACCCGGTCGAGCAGCCTCGAGCAACACCCACACTCGAGCAGCACCCCAAACACCCTCAAAACAGCCCCCACGCGCGAGCCCGCGGCAACCACAATCACCCTCAAAAGCAAGTGAATAGAGTGGTGGTGGTGGTGGCCGGAAAATCTAGATGAAGTGAGAAGAGAGGGTAAGGAGAGACAGAGAGGAGGAGTGTACAGTGAGGGCAGGAGTTGAAAATTTTGGGAAAAATGATTATGTGAAGAAGTCAGAACAAAGGGTAAGGAGAGACGAGAGCCCGCTTTTTTTTTTTTTTGAATTGGGAAGCGGTTTGGGGTTGAACCGCTTTCCAATTTAACTAATGGTAAGAGGTTCAACCCTAAACCGCTTGCCATTAGTTAAATAGCAAGCGGTTCGCGCCAAAACCGCTTGCCATTTCATTGGTTTTTTTTTTTTTTTTTATTCAGCAATGGGAAGCGGATTATTAAAACCGCTTGCCAATTATAGCTTCCCATCACATTTATTCTACTAGTGAGTGTTGAGTTGTGATTACAAGATCATATGAAAAAAAATTTAAATGATTTGGATGATTTGATAGCCATTGGCTTGATTACATCATGTTAGTAAAGCAATCGAATCAAACTAAATTCGATGTTTTCCATATCCTTTGTCAAAGAAAAATGAGACGACTATCAGTTTAAAAAAAAAACACAATCATCTTATTTTCTTTTAATAATAGGGATATTTATTACCAAGGTAATTTAGGCTCTATATACATTGCCTAAAAGAAAAAGAGTTAATACAATAAATTGATTTGATATATTGACGGCCTCGACGTCAACTTTAGATGTCTTTTACAACTTTTGAGAATTGGTATTTTCACTTGTCGTGAGCAACTAAAATGTCCGCCAACGTGGGATATCTCCATCTTCTCTAAGTGAGGAATATTGATTGAACATGATCGCTACATGAAAAAAAAATTATCATTATCGTTATCACACGTATACCTCATTGCCAAGTCATCACGATGATTCAAATATTAAGACAATAATCCTTGCTTTTCGAAAACATGTCTAATTTTCTTTCTTTATTCTTCTATGAGAAAGTTGGATTCTCCTTCCTTTTATACAAATCCGTCTTTTTTGTTCATTTCTTTTTTAAGGGGGTAAGTCGGGATGATCCCTCCCATTTGACATCTAAAATACTCGAAAATAGTATAACTTTTTTGCTCTTTGTCTCAAATTGGGGGCTTAAAAAAGCCAGGACATCTCCACTTCTCTCTATTTACTGATTTGAACACGCTATTTATGTTGCAAAATCAATGTCATGAAAAGCTTATTACAAACCATCTTAATAACTTTAGATGACAAAGGGAAGAATACCACTTCCTATTATTTGACCAAGATGATTAATTATGTTACTTGGTCAAACAATTTGTGATAAACATATGCAATATTCCACAATTAAAAGCACAAGTCTTGGGGCTTTAAATAAACATGAGAAACATCCCCTAACATATGTATACATGAATTCCAAAAGCCACCTAAAATCTACGCTTGGGGGCTTCAAATTAGGTCTCACCTTAACTTTTATTTTAAAATGAGACTATATTTTAGAAAGTGATTCGAATGATTTTATAAATTATTCTAACACTTCACCAAACCTAGGTTTGATAAACATTCATTTTCAAACTATTATACTTATTTAATTGAAAGAATTTCACTTTTAATTATAAAAATATGACAATGATGACAAGGAGAAAAACATAAAATCAGATATACGAAAGTTTGCTCACATTTTCATATCTTTGTTGAAATAAATTGCAAATTACAACTTATCTTCATAAATATTGGACAAAAAAGTCACACTCAATTACGAGCTAGACTTTTCTTTCCATTTTGGGTCCAGTTTTGAAAATACAGAAAATCTTGCGTGGACCTGATCCACAATAATGTTATTGTGGAGCCGAGGTTTATACACACGCAACTGACATTATATGAACATAGTAACCCTTAATTTTGACATAGTAACCTTATTTTTAACATAATAACCTTTATTAAAACTAGTATAACGTTTAATATTATTGTGAACTTAAAGTACAACGTTATGACCCTAATTTTAACATAGTGACCTTTATTATTCAAATTAACCAGTATATAAAATATTTCATTAAAAAAATTAACCTTTTATAACATATATATTACCAAAATGACTTTTATTTCAACATAGAGACCCTTTTTCTATTATAGTGACCGTTTTTTTTTCTAATAAAACAACCATAATTTCCCTAATGTTAGTGGTCCACAATAAATTAGTGTGAACCAGGTCTATTTAATAATTTGTATTGAAAATAATATAATAATTGGATCCCTTTTTAAATTTTGAATTCTAATTCGAAAAAACAAAAAATAGTATTCTGTTATGATAATATCTAAATATGGATGACTATTATCCCATGTACAATCTAGAATATTCTAGAGTTGGGTATTTGGTCTTATCCATTGATGGAACCCTAGGAAATGTACATTATATATATCCCGTACTAGATGGAATATGAAATACAACGTAACAATCTTCCCTCATCTCTCTTTATTTTCTATTCCATATTTAACACGTTATCAGCACCATTGCTAGTCAACTGAGTAGGATTACCAAACATTTATCTAGAATCCATATTATTATTATCATGTAAGTATGATCGCAGCCCATAACAATTATAATTTAACATTTATCTACTTTTGCATGCTTATTTATTGGAATATCAACATATATAACGAATACAGAGCATGATATATAATTTAAGGTTCCATTTTTATTTTTCTCCATGCTAACATTCTCCCCTTCTATTTCGTTCTTATTTATGCATGATTTGTATCAGGTTTATTTATGCATGATTATAATGTTTAATACATATTTTTGAATACTATTTATATATACTTATCTTTTAATATTATTTTGTATAGTGAAAAATGTCGAACCTTGCCAAGCTCGAATTTGTGGCCCTTGATATTACCAGAAAGAATTATTTATCATGGGTGTTAGATGCTGAAATACACCTAGATGCTAAAGGGCTTGGTAAAACAATAAAAGAGGCTAATAAGGCAACACCTCAAGATAAGGCTAAAGCCATGATTTTTCTTCGCCATCACCTCCATGAAGGGCTCAAAAATGAATATTTAACTGTGAAAAACTCACAAATCCTTTGGAGTAATCTAAGGAAAGGTATGACCACCAAAAAACAGTGATACTCCCTAGAGCTCGTTATGAATGGTTAAATTTGAGATTGCAAGATTTTAAATCTGTTAGTGAATATAACTCAGCTATGTTTAAAATAACTTCTCAATTGAAATTATGTGGAGAAAATATTACTGATGCAGAAATGCTTGAAAAGACATACTCCACTTTCCATGCTAATAATATTGTCCTGCATACACAATATAGAGAAAAAGGTTTTAAAATATTCTGAATTAATATCCTGTCTTCTTGTGGCTGAGAAAAATAACGAGCTGTTAATGAAAAATCATGAATCATGTCCTACTGGCTCTACTCCATTCCCTGAAGCGAATGTGACAACCCATAACGGGAAAGAAACTAAAAACAGGGACCATTCCAGCAGTAGTGGTCGAGGTAGAGGTCGTGGTCGTGGCCAATGGCGCGGCCGGGGTCGTGGACGTGGATATGGTAGAGGTCGTGGAGGTCATTTCATAAACTCACATTCCCACTAGAAGTGGGAACGTAGGGATGAAAAAGAGAAAAGTGATAACAATATATGTTACCGTTGTGGAGGAAAGAAAGGAAAGAAAGTTGAGGCAAACCTTATTCTTGAAGATGGTGAAGGTGATTTTGATTTTGGCAATGCCAATCAATTTGATGTTGGTGATTTCCTTACTTTCCCGGAAGGGAATAATTTTGATTTTGACAGTACAACTCATTTAGAAGTTGCCGATTTCTTCACTGCCCCAGAAGGGAATAATTAAAATTATATTGTATTATGTCAGTTTTAAGTATTAGACTTATGTTTGCTTATTCTAGTAATTTATTAAAGTTTATTTCTTTCGTTGTAATAAGGATTTTTACTTTATAAATTTATGAACTATTTGAGTGTTTTTATTGATTTATTTGTTTTATCATCTTTATTTTTATGCTTAATATTTTGACATGTATTTTATTTCATAAAGAACATGGATATTACTCAAGTTCAATTTGCTATGAATGGTGAAGAATTATGTCTTGCTGACAGTGCAACTATACATACAATACTAAAAAATAAAAAATATTTCTCTCATTTGATGATGAAAAGGATTAATGTAATTACCATATCGGGTAGTACAAATATCATTGAGGGCTCCGGAAGAGCCACTATAAAGTTGCCTTGGGGAACTGAAATTAAAATAATTGATGCTTTATACTCCCCATTGTCTCAAGAAATTTATTAAGTTTTAAGGATATTCGCAATAATGGTTATCATATTGAGACAATCAATAAAGAAAATAACGAATTCCATCAAATCACAAATATAACTCAAGGCTCAAAACATGTTTTGGAGAAACTACCTACATTCTCTAGTGGTTTGTACTACACAAAAATCAATGTTATTGAAGCTCATGCTATAGTAAACCAGAAGTTTACTAATGATTTTGTTGTTTGGCATGACCGGTTAGGCCATCCCGGTTCAATAATGATGCAAAAAATAATTACGAATTCATGTGGACATTCATTGAAGAGCCAGCAGATTCTTCATAATAATTTTTCATGTGCTGCTTGCTCGGAAGGCAAGTTGATTATTCGCCCATCACCAGCTAAAATTAATTTTGAATCAATTAGTTTTCTGGAACGTATACAAGGAGATATTTGTGGGCCCATACATCCCCCATGTGGACCATTTAGATATTTTATGGTTTTAATTGATGCATCAACTAGATGGTCACATGTGTCTTTGTTATCAACTCGTAACCTGGCGTTTGCGAGACTACTTGCCCAATTGATTAAGTTACGGGCACATTTTCCAAATACTCCCATTAAGACTATTCGGCTTGACAATGTTGGTGAATTTATATCTCAAGCTTTTAATGATTATTGCATGTCCATTGGGATAAATGTTGAACATCCTGTAGCACATGTTCATATACAAAACGATCTAGCAGAGTCATTAATAAAACGTATTCAGTTAATTGCTAGACCATTGCTTATGAAATCCAATCTCCCAATTTTTGCTTGGGGACATGCTATATTACATGCAACAACACTAATTCGCATTAGGCCAACAAGTTATCACAACTTCTCCCCATTACTATTGGTTTATGGTCAGGAACCAAATATTTCCCATCTAAGAATTTTTGGATGTGCGGTTTATGTTCCAATAGCTCCACCACAACGCACTAAGATGGGTCCTCAAAGGAGGATGGGGATATATGTTGGGTTTGAATCCCCGTTAATAATTAAATATCTTGAGCCTACAACAGGGGATTTATTTACGGCTCGTTTTGCAAATTGTCATTTTAACGAGTCACTTTTCCCAACATTAGGGGGAGAAAAGAGAGAGCTGGAAAATGAAATTAAATGGAATGAATTATCATTATCCTATCTTGATCCTCGAACTAAACAATGTGAACTGGAAGTTCAAAAGATAATTTATTTACAAAGTTTAGCGAATCAATTGCCAGACTCGTTTGCTGACCCAAAAAGAGTGACCAAGTCGCATATTCCAGCTGTTAATGCTCCATTTAAAATAGATGTCCCGGAAGGACAAAATAAAATTGCTAATGAGTCTAAACCACGCCAAAAACGTGGAAGACCAATAGGTTCCAAAGATAAGAATCCTCGGAAAAGAAAAGGAGCATTGATTGATGATGGTCAAATTGAAGAAACAATTTCCGAAGGATCTCCAGAAGAGACTTTAGACATGATACAAGAAGAAATTCAGGTACCTGATAATGAAGAAATTTCAATAAATTATATCATGTCTGGAATTACATGGAACCGAAATCAAATCGACGTCGATGATGTTTTTGCATGCAATGTAGCATTAGATGTTATGGATAATAATGAGGATCATGAACCAAAATCTATTGAAGAATGTAGACAAAGAAATGATTGGCCAAAATGGAAAGAAGCAATTGAAGCAGAATTAAAATCTCTTGGAAAAAGAGAAGTATTCGGACCAGTAGTCCGTACACCTGAAAGTGTAAAGCCAGTGCGATATAAATGGGTCTTTGTGCGAAAGAGCAATGAAAAGGGTGAAGTTGTAAGATATAAGGCACGCTTAGTTGCACAAGGATTCTCACAAAGACCTGGTATTGATTATGAGGAGACATATTCTCCTGTGGTGGATGCAACTACTTTTATTTTTGATTAGTCTGGCAATAAGAGAAGGACTTGACTTACGTTTGATGGATGTAGTCACAGCTTATTTATATGGCCCACTAGATAATGACATTTACATGAAGCTCCCAAAAGAATTCAAGCTGCCGGAAGCAGCAAAATCTAGTTCTCGAGAACATTTCTGTATTAAATTGAACAAATCTCTTTATGGATTGAAACAATCTGGGCGTATGTGGTATAACCGTCTAAGTGAGTATTTGTTGAAAGAAGGTTATAAGAATGATCTTATCAGCCCATGTATTTTAATAAAGAAATTTGGATCAGGATTTGTTATAATTGCAGTGTATGTTGATGATTTGAATATCATTGGAACTCCTGAAGTGATTTCAGTGACTGTCAATTATTTAAAGAAAGAGTTCGAAATGAAAGATCTAGGAAAGACAAAATTCTGCTTGGGGTTACAAATAGAGCACCTAGAGAATGGAATCCTTGTGCATCAATCAACATACATAGAAAATGTTCTTAAAAGATTTTCTTTGGATACAGCACATCCATTGAGCAGCCCTATGGTTGTAAGATCACTTGAAGTAGAGAAAGATCCATTCCGACCTCGGGAAAATGATGAAGAAATTCTTGGTCCTGAAGTACCGTATCTTAGTGCAATTGGAGCACTAATGTACCTTGCAAGTCATACACGACCTGATATATCATTTTCAGTTAATTTATTAGCAAGGTTTAGTTCATGTCCAACCCGAAGGCATTAGAATGGGATTAAACATTTACTTCGTTACCTTCAAGGTACGAAGGATATGGGTTTATTTTTCCCAAAGTTGTCCAAAGAAAATTTGATTGGTTTTGCAGATGCAGGTTATTTATATGATCCTCATAATGGTCGGTCACAAACTGGATATGTGTTCACATATGGTGGTACTGCCATTTCTTGGCGTTCCATGAAACAAACCATTGCAGCTACTTCTTCCAATCATTCTGAGATTTTAGCAATTCACGAGGCTAGTCGTGAATGTGTATGGTTAAGGTCAGTAGTTCAACATATAAAAGAAGTTTGTGGTTTATCATCTGGGAAAGAGGTACCAACAACTTTATATGAGGATAACGCTGCTTGTATTGCTCAACTTAAGGAAGGATACATCAAAGGCGACAGAACAAAGCACATCTTACCCAAATTTTTCTTCACTCATGATCTTCAGAAGAATGGAGATATAAATGTATTACAGATTCGTTCAAGTGAGAATTTAGCAGACTTATTTACTAAGGCTCTTCCGACAGCAAAATTCAAAAAGTTAGCTTACGGCATTGGATTGCGTCGTCTTAAAGATCTCAAGTGATGTAGTCATGAGGGGGAGTTAATGCGCGCTGCAATCTTTTTTCCTTAACCATGGTTTTTTCCCACTGGGTTTTCCTGGTAAGTTTTTAACGAGGCAGCATCTTATGCGCATTATAGTGTATTATTTTGTACAGGTTTTGTAGTAAATGTTAGTTATTGTTTTATTCAATATATAGTCATCCAAGGGGGAGTGTTATGATAATATCTAAATATGGATGACTATTATCCCATGTACAATTTAGAATATTCTAGAGTTGGGTATTTGGTCTTATCCATTGATGGAACCCTAGGAAATGTACATTATATATATCCCGTATTAGATGGAATATGAAATACAACGTAACAATCTTCCCTCATCTCTCTTTATTTTCTATTCCATATTTAACATATTCAAAATTTTCTTTCTGAATTTTTGTTTTTTCAAATAAATAATGTTTAGATTCTCTATAACTGTTTGGATAATACATGTATTTTTCCAAATGGAATGAATTAATATTCGACTTCTTCTTGACTCGAACTTGTTCTCGCTTAGTTCTCTTGCGAATATTGGCTAAGGAATGGTAAATAAACCATCTACTAGACCAAAATCAAAGATTGATAAGAACAAACAAAATACTTGATGATCTAAATCAACTTTGAGAATAAAATCACTACAACGATCTTTACAAACGTTTAGACATTGATTGAAATTATAATTTGATTTTAATGGTATGAATTTATGAAATTCGTTTTAAGAAAAAAAAAAAAAGAAAAGAAAAAAACTGTTCGAAGGAGTTCGAACAAACCAAGGAGTTCTATTCGAAAATTTGATCCAAAAATTCGACAAGTTTTGTCGAAATTGATTAAGGGCTTTAGTTTCTTTGGATTTCAATTGCAAAACCATGTATTTAATTCTTATTTTCGTTTAGAAATAAAAGAGTTTGATTCAAAACAATTAAAAAACCCTAATTTTTCCCCAATTTGATTTTATATGTTAAATCTTCGATTTTGGTTCAATTAGATTGAAATTTGATGCGAAAAGATGTTTTTGCTGAAATTTATATAAAATTATACACGAAAATACCAAGAGTTAGTTCGAAATTGTTCGGAATTTGCAAAGAAAATTCTTCGAAAACTGGTTTCGAAAACAGGTTCGTATTGGTGGCTGCAAGGGGATTGCGTGGCGGCTGATGGTGGCGCTGGCTGCAATTGTTGCGCCGGCTGCAAGTGTTGGTGCCATGTCTGGGTTTTGCGCGAACAGGCTGCACCTCTGCGTGAATGGATCTCCCCTGTTTAGAGCTGGCTGGTTTTGATTCGTGCGGTGGTGCTCTGGCTGCGCAAAGGTTGCGCGAGCAGGCACTGCGCGTGGTGGCAGGCACTTCTTTGCGGTTCCCCTTCGTTGCTGCTGTCGTGAGTTGGCAGCTGGTGGTAGCTGCATCTCCACCCAACAGAGCAGCCTCTGCTACTCCCCTGTCTTTCGTGGCTGCTGTTTCTGAAACAACCTGGGCCAAAAGCTTGGGCTGGGTTGGGTCTGCTGGCCCGCTCAGTCCAAGCTAAGTCAACTAATAAAATATAGTATAATAATATAATAATTCTTATGAGGGAATAATATAATAGACACAAAACCCTTAAATCACATATTCACTCTCTCCAGTCTCCCTCTGTCTCTTCATCACCATCATTCATCTCGGCCTCTGGTTTCCGTCGTTAGACCGCTTTCTGCTGGTATTGTCAGTAATTTTTTTTTGGGTTGTTGTTGTAATTAAGCTTAATTTCTGATTAAGGCTTATCTTGTGTTATTATAGAGGGTGACACTCTCAGGAGATCTTCTGATCAATTCTCATCTCGCTCTTGTGCCTTTGTTGTTACCACAAAAAAACTTGTGTTATTATAATTACTATTTTTTTTTTCTGTAATTATACTCTGTCGAACAGTTTGCAACTAACATCAGAAATAATCCAATTATATGTGGGATTGACGACGTTTTTAGGATGTTATTGTTAGGTTGAAATACTAATATGTGCTTTGATACTTGTAAAGTTTGGACAAATTAGTATTGAGTGTGAATTAAAAGACTAAAATTAGTAGAACTTCAAATATCACTTATGTTCTTTGCCCTTTGACCTATTTCCCAGATTTTACACAAGGCGTTTGGTAGAGGGTGTGACCGCAGCTTGCTGTTTGAGATGTCAAATTCTCCAAGTGTACTTCACCTCGGGCAAATGGTGACTTTTCATGTTTTAATTTTAATTCTATTGTGATTGTGATTTGCTTCCCAACTTTATTGCTGGGAAAATTCAATGCCTGCACTATGATATATCACTACTACTAAAATACACTCATATACTAAAATTTAAAGTTCTCATAAAATAATCCACTAATACATACACAATCATCACTTTAAAGTAAATCCAAGTAATTACAATCTAATTCAATGCCTGCACTGGCACATATGATGCGGTCATGCTCAAGCGCACCTAGGCGAGGCCCTGCAGACGGGTTTTCTTAAGTAAGAGAGATGCACCGAGCATACCTCTTTTGCACTTAGCTGATGCCTCTGCAGCTGTATCTTCTGTACTAAATTATTTCTTGAGATCATCAGAATTTGCATGATCTTTGGATTCACTTGGCAATTTCTTATGCATCTGTCCATGGTAGGGGGAAAAGGAAGTAAAAAAAATGTATGTTTTGCCATTTCTTTATGTGTCATTGTTAATTATAATGTCCTGTGATTTCTATTTCTTAAGAGAATAGTTATGTTCTTGCCTAGTAAAACTCCTTTTCTCTAGCTTACACTTGGTTTGGATAAGAAGAGGTGAAGGAAAAGGAGAGAAGAGTGGTTCCTTAGGCCTTGTTTGGATTTTGTTCTGAACCGGACAGTCATGCTAAAACTAAGAAAGTCCTCCGGTGAAAGGTGAAAACTTGTATCTAAAGTCGAATAAATCTATCAGAAACGGGGGTTAGGTTTTCATAATAAAACACCAAGAATGATCAAGAGCTTTTGAAAACTCTTTTAATTCTGATAATGTGATTACCCAAAGATAATGAGACATAAGATGACATGCATACTTGCTTGTTGATGACAGGTACAAAATGAAGATAAGGACCGGCTTAGCAGCTTACCAGATGATATACTAGTCTCCATCCTACAACTAATTGATATGAACGATGCAACAAGAACTAGCGTCCTTTTAAGACGTTGGAGATATTTGGCTCCGTATTCTTATTTTACTGTTGTGGACTTGGATGCTAGAAAGACATCACTGGTTGATTGCAAGACTAGCCGTATATCTTATAATGATGCAAGACCCAAATTTCTGAATTGGGTTCATCAGGTAGTAACTTCACACCGTGCGCCATTCATTAATGACTTCAGAGTTTCTTTCCCATTAAGTTAGGCAGATTCAAATTGTTTTTTTAACTGGATCGAACTTGCTTTTTCAAAAGGAGTGAAGAAGTTAGAGCTAAATTTTTCTAGCAAAGGCTTTTTTGGTTTTCATGGATATCCTTATTTTTCTCAATGCTCCTTTCCATCCACTTTTTTCAAGGGTTCCTGTTTCAAGAATGGGTCTAGCAATCTAACATCTCTATGTCTGAGGTTCGTTAACATAAGTGGAGAGTTACTAGAGTTGTTTTTGTCTCATTTCCCCCTCTTGGAACGTCTATACATTGAAAGCTCTAATGAGTTGCAGAATCTTAAGATCATAAACTCGTCTGAAAAGTTGAAACACTTGGCTATACACTGGTGCAAGTTTGTAAAGGAAATTGAGATACATGCTGTCAATCTTTTGTCGTTTGAATTCTCACACTCCCACAAATCCCACAATTTCTCCGAGTCTCCTACCGGTAGCGTGAATGTGATATATGCTAGTGTTCCATCACTTGTTGATGCACGGTTTTGTTGGGGGCGTTGCGCTAGTTGGCTTCCATATTTCTTGCAGATACATTGCTTTGCTGCACAGTTGACTAAACTTTCTCTTCAGGTAGACTTGCGTAGTTGGTGCCTAACCACTTGGTCTAACCTTTTAAATAGCTTCGTTATTCTGTTTGGTTCATAATTATCATAATTGGTTTATGCCATTTTTTGTTTATATATAGATGATAGTTAGTACTGATCAAGACCCGCACCTAATACCTTCCTTCCCTAACGTGAAAGACTTGGAGTTACAAGTAACCGTTGGTCACCATCGGTTTGATGGGAGACATATGAACCTATTTCGGCTGAGACGCTATGCAGAGGCTTGTCCGGTCTTGGATAATGTTAAGCTGCAGGTAAAATATATACATGTAAATCTCTACTAACGACCTTCATTGCAACACTAATCCACTTATTTTAATAGTTTTTCTGATTTTTTTATTGTGCCCCCCCAAAAAAACTAAGGGACCTCGGAGGGACTAGTTTTTTCTTCTTGAGTACGTGCTATTTTTTATTTTTTTTTTTAATTTTTTTTTTTCAGAAACGTTGTTTCTGTTATATAATGTGACTTAATTTTATAGCAATTTTTGTTGTCTATAACTCTGTATATGATTCATATGTTGAATGATACATTAGCTTGATGTCTTTTGTGGGGTTTTACAGATAAATTGGAGTTGTGATTGTGGCGACGACAAAGAGATACAACTATCTGATTCTGAGTCGAGTGTTGATTTTGATTCCAATTACGGTTCTGATATCGATTTGGATTCTGATTCTGATTCTGGTCCAGAAGAATACAGTTTAGAAGAGGTTAAACAGTGGTTGGAGGAAAAGGAGGGAGTTAATGCAACCTTACCTTTCTTGCGAAAACTTGAATTGACTGCAGCATTTAGTCATCACTTTGAAGCTGAATATGAACTCGCCTTATACTTTGTAAAAAATGCAGTCATGCTTGAGAAATTCATTTGTAATCCACAATTTGAGGATGAGAATTGGATTCAGTACAGTATGGATGTTCTCGAAGAAGATATTCGTAGACAACGTGCTCAGTACAATATGGATGTTCTCGAAGAAGATGTTCGTAGACAACGTGCTAGGAAATTAGCTGTGGCTATACCATCTTGTATTGACTTTACAATTTTGTGAATTCATCTACTTATTCCGTAACATAATAAATGCAACCGTTTGAATCTCAACACTATTCACAATTTTTACTTTAAGCGTAATTTGTGACTTGTAAATAAGAAAAAATATTGTTATTTCGGGTCCCGTTGGATTCAACTGAACTTGTAGCTTTATGATCTATTTTTTTTATACTTCATCCGTTTTATTTTACTCGCTACAATTTCCTTTTATAGCATGTTTCACATTACATGCTACACTTCTTTTTTGGGTAAATCATTATCTCTATCTCTTTCCTCTTACATGGGTCTCCTTAATTTTTTTTTTCTCTCCATCTCTTTCTTCCCAACATTTTGCATAGGAGTCCGTGCAAACCCCAAGTGTAGCGATTTTTTACAAATACATAATTAAAGATATTAAAATTTTTGTCTCGCCATGCGTAAAAAGTACAAATGTTATGTTTATTTTGTTAGTGAGGAATTATTAACTTTTGGAGTTAAATTTTATTTGCAAGCTAGATTTTATTATTAGAGGTGATAAATGTGTCGTGTCGCTTACATAAACGGGTTGATCCCCTACAACCTAACCCGACTCGTTTAATAAACGTGTCATGTCGTGTTAACTCGTATATTTAAACGTGTCAACAACCTCCACCCAAACCTGTTAATAAAGGGCCGATTCGTGTCGAGTTACCGTGTCATATCTTTTTTCATACAAATATTAAAAAGTATGTTGAATTGTGTCATATCATGTCAACTCGTTTACTTTAACGGGTTGAACTCTTCAACCCTAACACGACCTGTTTAATAAACGTGTCGTGTTGTATAATACCCCGTATTTTTATGTATTTTATAAAGTATTTAAGTATTAATAAAATGTATTGTCAAGGGCTCAAGTATTTTAATTAAATATTTTAAAGGGTTAAAGTATTTTAAATATAAAGTTTTATAAAAGTAAAATATGTTTTGGGCCAAACATTTATTAATTATTGGGCAATGTAAATTATTCCTACATACTCTTATTGGAATAACCCATTCCAAAACCCATAAGTTAAGCCCTATCCCATAACTCAAGCCCACATTTTTATAAGCCTAAATTTAACCCTACACTCTATACTCTATAAATACCCCATGAATCCCCAAAAATTTTCCACACAAAAAGGTTAGTCTTATTTTCTCTCTCCTTTTTTTTTTATTAATTTGTGTAATTATAATTATTGATTTATGGGTTTTAATTTTATTGTTTGAAATTAATTTAATTAGTATCAAATTGTATTTTTAAGATTAAACTTTATAATTTTCAGATTTTATAAATTTTATAACCTAGGGTTTTTAATTATTGAAAATCATGATTTTAGGTTTTTATGAATAATTGATTTAGGGCTTTGATAGTAATGATGTTTTGAAATTTTGGTGATTGTAACTACTTATTAGTTTAACTTAATTCCAGATTATTTTGAACACGTAAATTCATGTTTTAATTATTAGATTTTCGTTCGTTAATATTAATCCCGTTTTAATCCCAATCAGGTTCTAAACTCCTCCGATTTTGATAAAACAAAGTAGCGCTTTTCGAGTGGAAACAACGTTTTAAGAAAGACTCACTACCTTTGGTACTTAGCACTACCCTCTCGTGGCCAAATTCAGCTTCTAAATACGATTTTCGAGCAGTTTTTGATTTTTAACGAAGTTTTTTTTATGCTTTTAATTTTATCTTTGAGTTTAAAAGGGGTAAGAGATAATTTAATGTTTATATGGATAATTTAAGTATAAAGATATATTTTTATAAAGTTTTAAAGGATTTTTGATTAGTTTAAAATGTTGGAATTTTATTTAAAGTAGTATAATTGTGATTTTTAATAAAAGGGTGTGATTATCCATTAAAAAGGAGTTTAATTAGGGGTTTTTAAATAATTTTCAGATTATTATAAGTTATTTAAAGTGAGTTTAGGTTGCTGGAAATTGTGTATACAAGGGTAATTAATATAGTATTATTGTCCCTTTATGTAGGAGACTTGGTTCGAGAATTGTTGTAGAGTACTCGGTTATTTTAAGAGCTTATTTGAGGTACGTTCGCGTACTTAGCATATTTTGATGATGTAGAATCATGCTAGGCTTGATTTCAATCAATTACAAGTAGTATCATGCTAATAAGGTTTATGTATGGAATTGTGAATTAATGGTGTTGGTGATTAAATGGTGAAGCATGATTATTTGTGATGGTTCATGGATTGGAAAATCATATTTTTGGCATGTTCTGTTTGAACCACATTTTTATTTATGGCATGTTAGAAGGCATGATTAATTAAACTACATGTTTAATTATGTTTGGAATATTGAAAAGGAATTTTATTATGGTTCAAATAATTTTTATTGATGCTTTAAGCATGAGGAAGGAGCTATATAAGTGTCTATGTACACAAGGAATAAATTGTATGTTGGTGCCTTTGTGCACTTAAGGTGTTTTTAACAACGAGGGATAGGATTTTTGGCGCATTATGCGTTTAAGGTGTCTTTGACACTGAGGTAGAATTAAAAAGGGTTCAACATTAAATAATATGTGGTCACTAATTATTCAAGAATTAAATTGGTATGTTTGACCGATTGAATAATTATTGTTGATTGATTTATTATGCTTGGAGAGTCATCACCAAGTCCAATAACATGTAAATAACGTAAAGTGAAAGAGATTACGCACCAAAACTCTTGGAACGTATATACCTTGAGTATGAACAATGGGGGGAGTTATGGGGTTTTATATTTAACCATAACTTCTAATGGAGTACAGGACGCTGCACATTCCTTTTATTTATTTCTTATTATGCGCAGGAATTCCGCCACCTTTGAGTGGTTTTGTCGCTGGCACGGTTAGCTCCCGTGTCAGTTAACCTCAAATTTATTTGGGGGAGGTTAGGAGGTGGAAACCCATTCGATGCGTAATCAACGCTAAATGAATTAATTAGTGTCTAGTCATTGTGTCTTGTTGATTGGTGTGTGTGCTTGTGAACAGGTGCATTGAGGTAATGGTGTGTTGATAGGTGAAAGCATGTTAGTGTGTTTATTTACGCTTATGTACTCAGCTTTTCTGACCGTGTGTGTTTATGTGTTTGACCATGTCTTTACTTTGGCCCTACGACGACCCATTTTCTAATGGCGAGTAGTGGGGACAAGTAGAGAGGAGGTTTTCAGGTGATGTAGCATATTCATGAATGGGCATGGGTGAAGAGCGAATCATGCTAGTTTCTATAAGTATATGATGTGTTTAACGCTTTAATTATTTATAATATTATTATCATGCATGACTAACGCAAAAGTTTTAAAGTCGGTTTGGTTTTAATAAGGGCCTACAATGGTTCCAAGTTATAGGATGGTTTTATTTTACTTCGTTTGACTTTGGTTTTGACTTTACTTTCGTTGGTTGACTTTTCAATTTGACTTGTTTTGAACGGTTTTGAAGTTAGTCTTCCGCTGTGTGTCTTTGATGGTTGCCTTAGCCGTTTTCACGGTGGCGGTAATATCTTAGATATTCCTATTTAAATTTTTAAACAAGGTAAAACGTGTATTTTGAAAGAAAGGAATTTCTAGGGTGTTACATGTTGTGTCAACCAGTGTAGTTAAACGGGTCAACAACTTCGACCCAAACCTGTTAATAACGGGTTGATTTTGTGTCGAGTTAGTGGATCGTGTGAGTTTTTACCACCTTTAGATTGTTTTTATACATATAATTTTTTAAGAGGTTTTCTAGCTTGTACCTGTGCATTTTGCACTACATTGTTAAAATATTACAATTTGTAAAATTTGTAATATGTACTGCTTGACAATCTATTTAATTAAAGGAAAGTTTGTCAAAACAAACCTCTTAAAACATTTATATTGCGAAAACAAACCTTTTAAAACGTTTTTTTGCTAAAACAAACCTTTTAGGAAGTGGCTTGCTTGGATGTTTGAGACTTGCTCACGACAAGAGCAAGATGAGTTTCTGATGTGTGTATGGATGGTTTGGCTAAGTCAAAATGCAGGCTTATTATTTGAGGCGAATGTGGTGTTTACTGAACTCGCTACCAAGCGAGCCTTGGACCTGCTGGATGAATACGGAAAGACCATGGAGTTTGAGGTGGGGATAGGTGGTAACGCGGCTAGGAGGGTAGCAAGGTGGTCTGCTCCTTGTGAGGGTTGCATTAAGTTTAATTTTGATGCTGTTGTGCTGCCCGGTGGTGAGTTTGTGGGGCTTGGAGTGGTGACACGTGATTTGTATGGTGGTGTTCTATTGGTTGGTTCGAACAATCTACAGCATTGATGGGACGTCAAGTTGGCTGAGGTTGCAGCGGCTACGTGGGCTGTGGAATTGGATCGTGCTAATTGGTGGAAGAAGGTGATATTTTAGGGTGATGCGCAAGTTGTTATACGTGCTATTAGAAGTGAGATTGCTCGATGTAGTGTTGTGCAATTGCTCGTTGAGGAAATTATTAGTTTATCTAGTTTATTTGATTTAAATTCTTTTGTTTTTTGCTATCGGAAATGTAATGAGGTTGCTCCTCGTCTCGCTCAATGGACGTTGGCTTCCCCTTGCGACTAGGTTTTGCTTAATGAGTATCCTACATGAATCTCTGACCTTGTATGTCGTGACTTAATTACTTCTTAATAATAGCCTACCTTTTACCCTAGTAAAAAAAGACAATTTTTCATTGAAAACTAGTTTACTGGCTCGGGTGTTGCCCCGAGTTAAACAATATCCATGTACGGAATATTATATATGTATAATTTGCCTACTCATGGATTTCATGTGGTTTTATATATGATATGGAGGGAATCACAATTAAAAGAAAATTTATATTTTTATTGCAATAGAAAAATATTTGAGTACTACCAACAAAGCTTACATTGAGATACATTATACTCCCTACGGTTTTTAATGTTATGTGCAATTTCCTCATTAGGCTAAATTTTAATATTTTGTGCATTGTGTTCTATTCCATTTTGGTACACACGTTCTCCAACCCATTCTTACTTTTTAACCCCACATTCCTCTACTTTTACCACTTTCCCAGTTTCCCTTACTTTTCCCTTTTCACACACTCTCTAATATATTTTATTTTCGACTCCACTCACATTATAATACATTATTCTTAGCTCCATGAAATAGTAAATGCAAACAACATTAATAATCGAGTGGAGTACTACGTA